GTGGTATCCACCTCCCCGGACATCCCTCAGCTCGCCGACTGCCACTGTGGGTGCTCGTGTGTGTCCCTTTGCAAGGACCGGCAGTCTCTCTCGGGCTCTCAGTGTGTGCCTGGTTCCTAAGTAAGGCTGATCTCGTATGGGTAAAACACGGATTTGTTGTCACGTGTTCTTTACGTATGAATGGGGACACTGCTCCTGAACAAGATCTGCAGGACGTTCTCCCTCTCGACTGACACACAGTCGTAGTGGAGTATGTGTTTCCCCGCTCCGTGGACTTTTCCATTCTGCCCTTGATGAGTGCAGTGCTCTGGGATGAGTTTCGTGAGCCTGTGGGGGTCTTACCAAGACCTCTCGTGCATCTAGAGACAGGATCCATTGCCATGATGCCTGAAACCACTCATGGGTTTATCCCGCCCAGCCTTGCCCCTCTTACTGTAGCAAAAAGGCTTAGGTAGGTGCCGTTCCTAGTAGTTTTCCGTCTAGTAGCCTGGGCTGGCGAGTGCTCATGCTTGGCTACCTAGTGTGGTTTTCGTTTCTTGGCCTCTGCGATTTCATCTTCCTCATATTCTAATGTTTCCTTTTTTAAAATGGGAAAACCTAGGGAATGTCAAAGAATCAGTTACTATTGTTTTAATTTTATATATAGTGTGTGCAGGATCTGACCTTGGACATTTGGTAGAGAGGACCAGGCAGGAAGAAGGAGAGGTGGAGTTAATATAAAAAGATAACTCAAGGCAGGTGGACTGTCTTGGTCTCCTGAGCTTCTGCAGGACTGAACTTTTGTTTTGGTTTTTCAAGACAGGGTTTCTCTGTGTAGCTTGGAGCTCGCTATAATGGCAAGGTTGGCCTCATCTATGGAGCCAGAGATCTGCCTGCCTCTGCCTCCCAGGTGCTGGGGTGAAAGGCCTGACCAAACGCCTCCTGGCTAGGGCATGGAGCCCTTGATGACCTTTCTGTGTGTGGACTTTGAAAATGTAGGTGAAGGGAGAGGGGGGTATCGGGGACACACCCGTAGGAGGCTAAGAAGGGAAGAGGACTAGAGCCCGGGGAATTCACACCATCCATCTTGGACAGTGTGGCAGTCTGGTCTTGAAGTCCTTGGGTTCACAGCAGTTCCCCTTCCTGCCTCTGCCTCAGTGTGCTGAGTGCTGGGGATATAGGTGTGAGCCGCCACGTCTGTTAGTACCCCACTCTTAAAGAAAGTAAGTAATGGCCAGGTGTGGTGTCGCATACCTGTAAGCCTCTAATCCCAGCACTCAATAGGCAGAGGCAGGCAGAGCTCCAGGACAGTCAGGGCTATGGAGAGACCCTGACTCAAAGACAGAAAAGAAAAGAAACGACCTCCCGTTGCTGGCTTGGGCAGGTACTCGTTTCCATTTCCCAGCTGGGGAGAAATGACCTGTCACCTCTGGTTTACACCCATGGAGACACTCAAACTGAGACGTTTTGATTGACCTGTGTAGGATGACACGGCTGCTGAGTGCCCAGCAGGGCCCAAACCTGGGCAGTTGGAAGCTCAGCATTAGCATCATTACCTTATCAGAAGGATGCAGGAGCTCCAGTATCCCAACAGACTGGCTCAGAAATACCAGAAGCGACTGGGGTACGTGTTCCAGTCACGTGTCTTGCCCAAGGGGTTGGGTTGATGTTGATGAAGGCTGAAGACATCCACTGCACTAAGGCACTCCTCTGGGCATTGCCATTCCAGTAGTATTCTTTGCAGGGGGCTGTGACCTGGTGAAGTCCCCTGTGGACAGTGACGACCTCTTGTGTCTGCGTACTGCATGCCTTGTTTCTCTCCGTCTAGGTTCAGTGGTTCCCTTTTGCAGCTGCCTTGCTTGCAGGTGGGAAAGCCGGTAAATGGCCTCCTACAGTTGCCTACCTCATAGTCGAGCAGACCTGGCTTTTCACCTCCTTGTGGAGTGTTTGCTTTTCTTCCCACACTTGGTCTGCTTCTCAAACCCCTGAGCTGGCAGCTGCCATCCAAATGATGACAGCCAGTATCATGGTGAGTCCGTAACAGGCCTGGCTTTGTGCCATGCGTTGTTAGGACTGTTGAAAGTGGTGGATTTCAAGAGATGATAGCTTTCTACTTCAGACACCAAAGACTGTTGAAACACTGGGGTCAAATAAGGACCTGCACACACTTATCTCAGTGCACACATGTGCAGGAGCATATCCACACTAAATAAGGTTTCGAACCCTGCTGCAGATCCTTTAGTGTTCACGGTGGACTTGGCTGTGTGGCCTTTAAGGCATGACATTTTCCCACTGTAATTTAGTTTCTCTCCATTGTTAAGCATGGTGTATCCAACGCCGATTATGCTGCATGCATCCATGGCTGTGTATTTTGGTGTTCCTGCTTCCCCTTCCTCAGGGTGCCGGTGCCGCAGGTTGGAGTCAGGCACCACGCAGGTTGAACATACCCTCACCGCTGACCACGCCTCCAGCCCCATCAGTACATGTCCTTACAGCCCAGAGTTACCCAGATTCCCTGTGCAGGCTTCTCAGCTATGGTGTGGTTTCACTTCTAACAACTAAGGCAGCCAGAATTTCTTTATGCAGTTGATATAAAAGTAGGCACCAGTTTTCTTTTTCAAAACAGCATGTTTTCTCCATCACTGTTTATTGAGTAGTGGGTCGCACCTGCTGTTAGAAGTAAATGGTACAGCTTATGAAAGTCTGTGTCCAGCTGGGTATGAGATGGTCCAAACTCCAGACACTTCCAAGCGTTGTCCGGCTTCCCTGCTGCCCCCTGGTGTTGTCACCAACATCCAACAAGGCACATGCGTGTACTCTGTGTTCCCAGGCCAGGCCTCCTAACTGTTGATGAAGTGTCCCCTCGCAAAGCCCATGCAGCCGCAGAAACTGCCACTGGTCCCGAGGCAGACGCTCTGGGGACTTGGCTTAGAAAAGGCTCATGACTGGAGGGCAGACATGCAAATGGATTAGAGAGATTGACTGTGAACCTCCCCCCACCCCCTCACCCATCCCATCAAGGGATAGCAGCAAGTCTGAGTGTTTATGTATTAATTTTATTTCGTAAGACAGGGTGTCACTTTTTTTTTTTTTTGGCCAACTTACAGGTAGGAAATGATTCTACCTTGCTGCTCTTTGAGTGCTGGGATGAGCAGTACCCAGTTTAGCAGTGTTTAATTTTAAACTGTGGCATTTGGTACCGTTTTTGAATATTTTTTAACACACAACATATACACACACATATACACCCGCTAACACACACACACACATACATGAACACAAACACACACACCATCATTCCCTCATATCCACATGAACACACACACACACACACACACACACACACACACACGAACATTCATACATCCATGAACACTCTCCCACACACGAACACACACACACACACACACCTCCCATAGCACATGTGTGCAGGTCAGAAGACAACTTTCTACCACGTGGGTCTTGGGAATGAACCTCACGTGGGTCACCAGGCTTAGTGGCAAGTACCTGTACCTGCTGAGCCGTCGCTGGCCTTGCTGGCAATAGGCAGAGTGCCAGGTTTGTAGCAGGAACAAAGGGAGTGTCCTGCCCTGCAGAGCAGGGAGGGAAGTTCCAGGCTTATTTAAAGATTAATCCTTTAAGAAACCTTCATATTACGTAATTTCTGAGGAGCACATGTCTGGATGGTAGATATTAAAAGTCACATTCACCTGCTTCAGTAATGGCCTGCAACGTGCTTTTAAAAGTAGAGAGTATGGATATCTTACTGTGGAGTCCTCAGGAACTCTGGCCCTAGTGAGCCTTGGGATCTGTGTATCCTCAGAGCACACATGGAGAGGATGGGTTAGAGGGGTCCATTGAGCTAACTTAACACTAGTGATCACTAACATCGTGCTCCATTTTACATGTGACCCTCAAGAAATTAAATTCTCAATCTCTGAGGTAGACAACAATCTCACAGTTCTCTTGGGGAAACGTTGAGGTCCAG